GTCTCTTCCATTGAGAAATTATGGGCATCTCATACTTAAGTACTGGATATTTGTTGAAGTTTCTCAAACTTAAGCCAAATTAAAAAAAAAAAAAAAAAAAGGATAATTTTTCTTCTTTTAAGTTACAATACTTAAGAGTTTCAGTGTGAAATCTGAGCTTCTTACAGTATGTATAGCAAAAGGAAAATCAATCCTTATCCTAGGGAGCTCCCAGGTTTGTATTTATGATGAGATGAAAAAGGAAAGAAGAAACAAACCAAAGAGAGGATGATGAAAGAATAAGATTTCAGGGAAAACAATCACTGTGTGGGTAGGGAGGAGTAATTTCATCTCCTTGCTCAGCTGTAGTCTAGATTTTTTAAATCTTATCAGCTCACCCTGTCTTCTTTTTATGTTAACAGTAAATCTCAAAATTACTCCACTGAATGCAAGATTAGGCCTATTGCTGGCTAAATGTTAAAAGCTAAGTCACTTGAAAATCGATTCAAAAGCTAATCACAGGGGTGCTAGGCAGAAAGCTTTCTTTCACATCCTAGGTTTTAATTCTTGGAGGGGAAACAACAGTAAACTCACTTTGAAGACCTTATAAAACCTATCCCTGCAAAATCATTTTTGGTTTCCTCTCCCAGGGAATATGGGAAACAAATCACATCATACATTCCAATTCCGTAATATTGAAAATTGAAAGCCTTTCAGAGAATTTGGCACAGCTTCTGCCACTAGAATTGTAAACTCGCATAATACCCTGCCAAAATACTAATTTTTAAATGCATAGTTTTTAAAGCCTTTTGTTGACATCACAGCATTTTATCAGAATATAGGTTTCCCCTTCTCTTGCTCTCATGGCCACACCACACTACTTAGCAGGCTTTAAACAAAGTAAGGAAGGCAAATAAACTTGTGGAGGAACAGATTGTTTAGCTGAGATTTTAATTTTGTTACTGAGCTCCAGTGAATGGAGGCAGTACTGCAAGAGCTGGTAGTTGAAGTGCTGCAAGGGCAAGCTCTGCAGTTTTCCTCTCTCTGAAGGCCTTCCTCTTCACCTCTACCAGGACAGATCATAAATGATTGAGTCCAGGCAGGACTCTAGGAAGCAGAAGCAGCAGTGGGATACTATGAACATAACCATTTTTTTTCTAATTGATTATTTTATTCAAGGCCCCTCTACTACAGGAAAAGAAAAATCAAGAAAAAATAGGCATGGACATATTGTAAACAAAAAGAGTATTTTTAAGCAAGTCTTTATGCTTTGAAGATTTTGTATTTCAGATGGCATATGATAAATACATGATACGTTCAGCACGAGTAGATGCAACCCCAAACTGAATCTTCAGAGGAAGCACGAGAAAGCTGTAAAGAGGACAAACTGTTATATCCCTTCCCTGGTTAGTGATGGAAGGCCTCTGAAGCCATAGGTCACTCTGTGAAAGCCTGTTACTAAATCTGAGAGATTCTGCCTGCTGAGGGTCACTTAGAGAGCCCTGCCCTTCTGCTTAGGGATACCGATATCTGCAGTCTTTCATCTCAGCACAACTGTAGATACAGGGATTTTTAAGTTAGCATCACTGCACTCCCTGCAAATCATTCATCTCTGAGTCCTTGCAGAGGATTGATTGAAGGCACAGCAGGCTGACACTTAAAGCATGTATGTGCTGCTATGTTTTTCAGACCCGTGGTAAGTCAGAGTTGAGATAAAATTATAGCCATTAGCAGTCACCACAGCAGTCCTAACTCCAAGCTTTTCACTTTTTTCAGTTAAGTTTTCATCACCTTTCCTCACACAATCTTAAAAAAATCGCTTTGATTTTTGAGCTCTGGGAATTCACACATGGGATTATTTGGATGCTGAAGTGTATCTGCAAATGCTAGGATGAGACAGAGTCTGGTAGCAGAAGGCTGCCTGGGCCTATCCAGAAAGAGAGTAGGGGATTGTTGGAGAGGGCTCCTTGCCTGTTCTTGCTGCTAGGACATTCACTGCCACTTCTTTCCCAAGTACAGTAGGAGAGTAGCTGGTTAGTGTTGGGAAGAACAATCTTTGGTGCCATTAGAGTTATCTGCCCACTCAGCTGGTTAAATGGGGACTCTGATGTGCTGCAAGGCCCATTACAGGAAACCTGTGACCTTTCTGAGACACTTCTGTGAAAATCTAACCCTCGAGGGAAATTTGTAATCTTCCAATCAGTGGTCTATTTTAATCACAATTGTTTCTGTAGCTGCTTGTTCTGTAGCAAGGGTATCAGACAACACAAAGCATGGTGGACTGTTGGGAAAATGATACTAAAATCACCTGATTGCATCCAGCCTTGATGTTAGTATTGCCAAATGCTGGTAAATCATCCTGAGTCACCTCTCTGGTATCTGTTGAAGAGACAAAAGGAGAGCTGTGCTCTTCTAGCACCAAAGGTCAAGAGGCTTTTTTAAAATAATCAAAGCATTGTTGCTGCAAAAGCAAATGTGTGTCTCTGGGACTTTCAGTGGGATACTGTTTAGATTATTGCAGTCTCCCCTGCTTGCCTCCATGCAGCTAATTTTTGAGGCAATGATCTGCAGTTTAACAAACAATAAAAATCAATGCTTTCAATTGATGCTTTAATTTCATGTGCAGAGAGGCCCAAATTTCACTTCTGACTGATTAAATGTGGGGGTAAAATGTACAGTGTTGGGGTTCTCAGTACACTCACAACAACCCCTTGAGGAGGGAACACTCACAGGGTGGAAGTGTGGATGTGTTTAGGATGAAGCCTGATATAGACTCTTTCACCTTCTGCTTACTCCCCTGGAATAACTCTGTCTGCTATTATTTAAAAAAAAAATAAATCAGCTTTTCTGTTCTGTAGGGGAAACTTTTTGTCCCCCTGCAATGCAAATATGCTATAGTGTCGAGAGGAAAATGACAAGCAGAGGGAGAAGGGCCAAAATAATAATACTTTATGCTATGGTGGGGCTCCCAGTTCCCATGGGTCAGCCCTTCTCCTCCTTGCACCTTGGAAGCTTTAACTGAAGTGAGTGTAGTATATTCACTTTTAGCATAAGGTAATGGGCTAATATGCAGAGCAGGGCAAAGTAACTTTAGGCCTGTCAAGAGAGGATGTAATTAGACATTAAGGACATGTAGTAGATTAAAGATCTGATTGTGTTTTCAGAAGTTCCTTTGATTTTAGCATCAGAACTCCTAGCTGTAAGAAGGGAAAACAAAGATTTGTAGAGTTAGCACAGCAAAGTATTATCTAGCTCTGGTTTTATTAGATAATTTTTTTTGGCTTATATACTTGCATTTGGCTCAATTAAGCCATGAAAGCAGAACTTCAGTGAGATGGTGCTGAAGCAGTAGTATCCTAAAGCAAAGTTTGAAGGCTTCTTCTGAAGCTTTCCTATAGAGAAGTCAACTCAGAAGAATAATTTCAGTCCATAGAAAAGAATAGCCTTGTTTGAACAAATTTCTTCTTATTCTGTATGATTCCTCAGTTCTCCTGTGAGAGAGTACCATAATCCTACTGTCTACCATCTCCCAGCACCAGTATTTTCTTGCTGCAGTTGAAGCCTGTGTGAGTCTGCACTGGCAAGAAATCAAACCATTCAGCTGAATTTAGCTGCATTTAACATAATCATTTACAGCAAATCTAATTCTATATAGTATGTGCTATGGTCAAAATGGGTATTTAGAGCAGTGATTCCAGAAGCTGACTCCTGTCCCATGCATAATCTGTAGTTATACTCTAAGATTATGGTATTTTATGTACTATAAATACTACATAGTACTATGATGTCCTGTTAGCTCTAAGGATTCCTAACACTTTTTTTGTTGCAATGAAATTAAGATGAAAAATGATGTTTTGTTTACAACCAAAGGAACATGAACGCTTTCTGTTTGGTAGTAGCATAATGAAACTCCTAAATCAGGGTCTAATTTTGCCATTTCAAGTAGAGTGAACATATTATTACTATGTGATAATAATGCAAGCCATAGATTATTCTTCACTGAACTTGACTGTGTACACATCTACAAAATTTATTATGAAAACAAGGCAGACAGGTTTGATATGTGTATTCATAATGTTAGGTTCTTAAATATTTTCTTGAAAACAGCTTAATCTTTAATATTTCCAAGCACTCACAGTCCATCCTGTCTGTCCTCTCTCCTTCTCTTCTTCTTGAGAGAAAGAAATACATCTTTGTGTGTACTGCACATACATGTATGAAAAATAAACTTCCTCACTGGCAAGTAAACCCAAGAACAATGTTGCTAGCAGCTGTTGTGCTTAAAGCCTGGTGGAGAACACTGTTCCCTTATGAGCTCTCAATGCTCTTCTCAACATCAGTAATCAACATACCAGAACAATGTATTACAAACTCAAAAGCCCAGGCCAGGAGACCACAAAAGCTCCTCTGTCTTGTGTGAGGGAACTGAAAAGAGGCTTTCACAGTGCTGGAGAATATGCTGGCAGACTGTGCCAGTTCAGAGCCCTCAGTGTTCCGGAAGATGTTTATGTACAAGAAGGACAAATCTTGTCTAATCCTTGGTTCAGAAGCTACTATAACTGTTATTTTTTAAAAAATGAGAAGAATCATATGTATGTGTTGAAGATGACAATCAGATAATTACAGGCTGCTCAGTGGCTGAGGCATTGAAAAGGTCTTTGTGCTCTTTCCAGAAGGAGAAGGACATCTTATCTACTCTCACAAATTAAAAGCAAGATGTATCATTTAAAAACAAACATAAACCTATTTCCTCCTGTTTTATAAAGTAGTTGTTTCTGTACTCAATTATTTTTGCAAGCAAAAATTATAAAACCAGAGAGTTTGATTAACAACAGTAGCATTTTTTCTTAAAGATCTATTGGGTAAAATGGTACCAAAGTGAAAACAAGTAACTTCTCACTGCACTGTTCATTCAAAAGGAAAGTGTATATACTTAGGTGTATATACTTAGGTTTTCAGGAAGTCTTGCTAGACACCAGTGCAAGCACTGCCCTACAATATGTCAGAGAGAGGAAGATCAGTTTGGCAGAATGCTGGTTTTTGTAACTTTATTTTAAATGAAATTACATTCAGATACAGCCCAGATATATTAGCAGATATTTAAACAAATATTTAAAGCTAATTCCTATAATTAATATCTTAGCTTCACAATTCTTCTGTCATTCATATGATGAGCTCAGACTAAATTCACTCTTTTGCATTACCCTGATTCAAAATCCCAAGCATGTTAAAAAAATACAAAAAAATGTCTAAAATTTCACTTTCCATCCTAACTTACAAAAATAATAAAACTGCTGAAATGCTGTCATTAAAAAGCCACATTGGTATGATTTACAGCTGTACAAACTGTTGTTTAAAACAAGCATTACTGGATAAGTGATCAAAGATGTCCTAAAGATTTGAAGAAGTTTTCCTGTTGCACTTAAGTAGATCTTTTCTGGCTAAGTTACAAATAAAAGCCACTTTGAAAACTTACTTTTAAATTCACCAGAATAAAAAAAAGCTCAAGTAAATGTGCCTGAGATTAAAGAGAAGGCCATATTCTATGGTGCATACTCACATTCCAAATTCCCAGAAATTCTACCAAAACCAGGGCTTTCCTTGCTTTTGATGTCCTTGGTATTTGTCTAACACCTGCACAAAAAATTAGAAAGACATCCTGCCCATGACAAGGTGAAGAGTCTGCATGCTGAAGAAGAACTGAGTACTGCTGAGTAAGGCAGCTGAGGTGAAGTATGGCTTAAGAGCAATCTGGTTAAGGCAGAGTATGTATTTTCGAAGCTGTTACTTTTGCTTCCACTTCAAAGCACTAGTGCACTACAATGTGTTTAAGAGCTTTAGTTAAAAAGACCTGGTGGAGCTGGAGCTGGTTCAGAGATAAATCTAAAGGAATTCATTACAATACAATAGACAGTCCTGCAAAAAACCTTAGTCCGTTTCATATTCTGACAGTATTCAGACTAAAGCTCCACACATATATGCATTAACAGGGTAAATAAATATGTTAAGCACAGCTTTCTCCAAATACCCATCCATTATTTGCCCCCTGTGAGCCACAACTCCCACTGTGCATCAGACATTATCTGAAATTTTCAATGAGTGTAGCAATACGTGGGCCTAGTAATTAAATCAGGTGCAGTCCTTTCCTTGCAACAAGTAAGTTTTATTCCTCTATCAGGTCAAATTCTGCACAGTATTATCTTGACCTTAATCTAAAGGAATTTTTGTGGCCTTAGTATGGATTTTTAAGTGAAGACAGAATTTGGTCCATTTTAGAACATTAAAATAAACTGACTCACAGCTTCTCTTTAAAGAATCAGTAGATTAAAGAAAATGTATTTCTTTCTTTTAAGATTAAGGATTGATAGCATTTTCTATATTTACTACTAGAAAAGCCCCACTCATCCCGCTTGGCCAGTTTACAATTACCATTTATCCTTTCCAGTGCTAAGAACTTCTAGGTTATTCACAGAAATACATCAAAGCTCAGGAAGGTGTAACAACAGATGCATCGTATTGTAGCATAAGCTTATGCTTGAAAATACTAGAAAGTAGCTGGGCTCTGATCATTCTTTGGCTTGAAGCTGGAGACTCCTTGGAGAGATCAGTTCTTCCATTTGTTTGAGTCCCAAGCCAGGAACCAGCCTGTGAATGTGGGGGGTTCATGCCCTTGCTTCACAATTACAATGGGGGTTCCCTTATCTCTGCCAGAAGGATCAGTTTCAATATAGCGTTTGGCTAAAAACAGAGAGGAAATAAAACATGGAATATATTAGTTCATTCCTTTGGTATGAAAAATACATTAAAAGCCATAGTGAAAGAACACAGGGCTACTATAATGCAGTATTCAATTAATTATTTCAAAGGCACGGAGATGATCAGGTAAAGGCTGATTTTTCACAGCTGGCAGTAAAGGGATTTTCCATGAAGTTAAAACAGAGGGATTGCTTTTCTGAGCAGTTTGTTGCCATACAGCAGGGTTTTGGCTCTTAAACAGGAGAAAGCATTTGCTGGTGCTGTGAGGATGCACAAGCTTCATTCCCATTTTGCCCATATAAAAGCCAGTGAGTGTCGTTTCCCTTGACATCCCAACATGACATCAGTACATATGGAAACACAGCCAGATAACCCTAGCTGCTCCAGGGAAACACACACGAAGGTTTTCAGCATGAATTTTGTCAGAATAGCTCAGCTATATTAAGTTACACCAGGGATGACATGTGATTTTTCAATGAGGTACGTGCCACGTAAGTTATCTTGATTTGTTCTGTAATTGGAATTTCTTCCTGCAATTTAACTTAGTGAAGGGTGGCACTATAAGGAGTTGCTAGCAATCCTTTCTCTATACATATTATTGAGGGTACAGGTCAGTAGGGAGCTCCTAATAAGCTCTGTTACACTTTGAGATGCTGTAAATGTAACTAAATTTCTTTTACATCATATTTTCCTTTTCGTTAAGTAATATTGATGCTACTTCACTCAGAAATCTGCCAAACTGATTTGATTTACCCGATTTAACAGATTCCTGTCTCTCAGTTTCATTAGCGTCCTTCCCAATCCAGATGAAAACCTGCAAACAGAAGAAAGACATAACTCCCCTGGTATTATAAGGATGTTGTGTACAGCTGGTAAAGTGCAAAATAGTTGATTCCACTAGGAGAAAGAATACATGCTATGAAAAGACTGCAGAGATACAGAGCTCTCACAAACCACAGCCGATGGGTTTTTTTCCCTTGTGAGAAAGTGTAATTATGCCCTCTGAAATCACACTGCTCTCTATGACACTGGAAGGCCAGACCTTTATTCATTCTGATGAAAGGATCTCTATTTACTTTTTCCATAGGTATCTTTTACACTTTTACAAGGAAATTGCTGTTTGGGTGCAGGTAGTAATACTGTGTCTGATTTGAGCTCTGCATGCACATCAGCATTTGTGCCCTGTGATATGTGCTACCCTGGGTGACTGCTAGGTAGCCAACTGAAACACCCAGCAACCAGAGCTTTGATCTGCAAGCCCCTACCCCCCTTTTTTACCTCTCCAGGATTTGCTTGGAAACCAGCTACATGTCCCAAGACTTCTTATCTGAGTTGGTATGTCCCAACTACTTTCCATCCAGCTCTTTCCCACCACCCGCCATCACTCCTTTTCACATGAACCATGGACATTCCTTCTTATTTCCAAAAACCTCAGTCTTCTGTTCCTTAAGGGTTAGGCTAAAGAAGAGAAGCAGGGTGTGGGCCTTCTCCTCTTTTCCTCCAAAAGAAGAAGAAGAAGGATAGAGAGAATATACTGTGAGAAACAGATGTGTTCTCCAAAGCTTCAGCGAGTTTGCCTGTCATTCAAAAAGCTCTCCACATCCTCAGTTTTCAGTGAACTGGGCAATGATGGACATTATGTGTTGGTCCCTTTCTCTCCTACGACTTCTTGTAGGTGGCTCCTGCTACAAGGATTTAGTGGATTCTAAATACACCTAATACAGTAACTTTTTTTTAAATGAGTACATTTTTGTGATAAAGTCAAGAATGCTATTGAGAAACTTTCCAGAACACTGCTGGGGCTTATACTCTTGCAGCCTCCATTGGTTTAAATAAGAAGTGCCTGCCATGGTCTCACAATATGCTTGGAAATTCAGTCACACGTGTGAACACCAGCACAACATGTAGCTCAAGAAGTATAGCTCCTTTTGGTATAATTTAAAGAGAACAAAACTGCTTCCATTCTGTCAAGATGATTGTTCCTCCCATCTTATGAACTAAGTGATTAAGAATAAATTATCCTTGTTATCACAAAAAGCAGTAATCAAATACACAGCTCACCTGCTCCCAAGCATCCAACAGCATGACATCATCTTCAGCCAAATCATCCTGAGTGAATTCTCCTGGGACCTCTTCAATCTAGAAAGGATAATATGTGTTGAGGGCACTTCTGTTTTTAATGATTTATCAAGACATACAATTTTGCAAAGACCTAACCTATTTTTATAGTGTTAAGTACAGAGGTGATGAACTTTTGGCTCCTAAAGGATAAAACCCTGAACTTATTTGATGAATGTGTTAAAGGTATTTCTCTGAAATGAAACAGATCACATAATGGCAGGTCTTATAAAAGCAGCTTTTGGTTTTTCAGAATTGGTAAGATATCCTCAGGAGAAGCAAAGATCTACATTATAATTGTTGACTACTGTTGACCAACTGTTAAGTTGGGACTGAGGTCTGCCAGAAGAAGGAGACAGGGAAATTTGAACCTTGAACAAACCAAACTGATATATTTATGCAGCTTACATTCATTAATTGGTAAAGAAACTGTTTTGGTTTGCAGGGGATGAGCTCAGAGATGAAATACACACTCAACCAAGCTTCCCAGTCACTTGGCAATGGGACATTACAGTTGACTAATGTGAGTTGAGGATTAGTCCCCAAACATAAGGCAGACTGCTTGCTTCTTCCAAGAATGTGCAGGAAGATAGAAAGGCAGTTGAATATTCTTCTGTATGAGAAGGAAAGATAATAATGTAGCTAATGGTTCCTACTTTTAAAGGATTGTCAAGGGTTTGGCTATATGTGGTCATGTAGGAGTACTAAGGGGATGATAAGCAGATGGTGAAAAAGACATTCCTTTTCCCCACCCTGTGTAACTGTGGCCAGAAGGTCAGAGTGATCTCACCTGCCTCTTCTGGGACCTCTAATGGTGGTGATTCAGTTACTAGAGAAAGGCGACAGGAAAGAAGGGATTTCACAGAATTTGGAGGGAATTTAAAATAAAAAGTAAGTCCATAGCTCCCAGCAGACTACTGCAGATAGGCTGGTTCCTATTACTGTATTTCCCAGGAGTATTTTAGAAGCTTGTTAGAAGAACACACTTTCCTACTCTCGTAAGATTTTAAAGTCCTTATTAAAGGATCCTATTTGTTTTATCCCTCTCCAAATGACTGGGCTGTGCCTTAAGGAGACTGCCAGCTATGTCCCCTACATAAAAATGAGTGTGTCCTTTCCAACTGGTGACACAGCATTGCCCTCCCAGAATATGGTAAGCAATTAAGCCTGAATCACAGACTTAATACCCAGTGCATAGCTCCAGGTATTTCTGTCAGGGAAGTAGGTCTTCCTACCTCCTTGAGCACAGGCCAGTACCTTAAAGGCACAATTACACATCTTAAATCTCTATGGAAAATTTCAGACTGCTAGGGATTTTTGGCAAGCAGCATTGTCCACCACTGTCAAACACGTAAGGGGCAAGGCACTGACCTGCTCTTTCTCAGCAAATTGATAGCAATCTGGTGATGCTCTGCAAGAATTAAATTTGTTTTGACTGGGCAAATGCCTGATCTTTTTGCATCTGCAAGCCTCTCTTTCCAGGCAGGAGCAGGCTCTGGATGCAACCTTCTGCAATATTAATTATTCTGTTCATCCATAGCATTGGGATAGTTTAAAGCATCAAATGTCTACTCTTTAGTTCTTGCCAATCCTGGCTAAACCAGATCCCCAAATTCATTTAATAACCACTGATTTCCAAGGCAAAATATACCAGAAACTATATAAACAGAAAGTATCCATCATATACTCACAATAAATCTGCCTGTTTTATTAGAACAGCCATACAAGCGAGGGGGATGATCTTCAGCCTTTGTCAAGAGTTGTGATGAAGTCTGGTATGCTTTTTTACCTCCAAGTGCTTTCCAGAATTCCTCTAAAATACATAATATATAATTTATTCACCAGCTGATTTAACATTTCATGTTCTAGCTTGTTAGATAGTATTTCAGAAATTCCCAAACAATCTCTTGGTTGTCTCAAAGATGAATGCGTTTTTTTCTTACAGTACTTCCTGCAGTTTGTGAAAATACCAGTATCAGTTGCATACCTAGAACAAATCACAGAATTATAAAATGGCCTGGGTTGGAGGGGGCCATACACAGAGCTTCATCCAGCCATTCCTTAAACACTTCCAGGGATGGGGCATCCACCACTTCTCTGGGCAACCTGTTCCAGTGCCTCACCACCCTCACAGCAAAGTATTTTTCCTAACATCTAATCTAAACCTACTGTCTCCATGCAGCTCTGTGTATTCTCAGCTGTCTAGTAGCAGCCATGTGGCCTCATACGAACCTGGTTCCTGGCCTTCATTAATCTTAGCAGTCTGGCATTTGAGAACATTGGCAATGTATTGAGCTCCTTGTTCCTCTTCTTTACTCGCTCCTTTTCCTACCCACGTGTAGCCAGAGTTGTTTGGCAGTTTAAGAACAAAGACATCATTAGAGTTTAGTGACATTGCGTCAACATCAACCTAGATTAAAAAAGAAATTGTTTTATTCTTCAACTCTTCAAATAATGTAATTATGATTTTGCATGCTTATATAAAATGTGTAGACATGTTAATCTGCTATGCTTTTGGTCTTCAGTTCTCCCCTAGTTTTATACTGATACAAATTAGAGAAGGATATAAGACAAGGAACTGACTTGCAGGGTGAAACTTAGGACTGTTTGCAGTAGGAATGACTATTTCATAGGGGTTGATGACTTGTCTATTCTTTGTCGACTGACTCTTCACTGTGTGTATTCTTTCAGTTCCTCTGAACAATGTAGACTGATTCCAGCCAGCTACAACATATTCTCTTTGGTTTACTGGACTGGTTTGTCAAAAGAGCAGTGGATTGGATTTGGAGTTCTGTGTTCCTACCAGAGGTGACTACCCAACAAGATTAGTCAGAGAAGCTCATGGCAGCTCCATCATTTCCCACTGGGAATGGATGGTTTACCTAGCAGGTGACCTTACCTCTGCAATCCTAGTAATGGCTGCTAGGTTCCTGCGGATTTGGAAGAGTCGTGTTGGTGGAGCAGGTTTCTGACCCTCCTTCTTAGATGTCCCATCCTTGTAGACTATAAGTGGTTTGTTTTTGAACAAGCTCAGTAAATGTGCAGGCTCTTTGCCTTGACTGACTCGGATCTGCATGTATGCAAAGAAATGCAGTAAAAGAAACAAAAGTACACAAGTGGTTATTTTTGGTCTTTGCTGAATAGCTTGGGGGATCTTAGCCAATAATGCTGAGTATGTTAGCAAAAACAAGAAATGGCAAGCTGAAAAGATCGAAAAATATAGTTCCAGACATACAGAGTTAGAGCATTTGTGAGATTTTTTGTCAATCAAGGTGACACAAAGACAAGATTCAAACTTCTAACACAATATTTAGCTGATTAAAATGGCTGCTATCTACCGTAATAAAAAAGTCACACATTTTCAAAAGAACTGTCATTTCACAGTGTTTTATAGAATGACTTAATTCTCCTGAAAAACTGTCTTGGAAGTTTAGGTGCTCTTTATTTAAGCAGAAGAGAATGGTTGCTAATTTTATTCACTATTTCTGTATGTATTTTAGCTGCAAGAGGATGAAAAAGGGTAGTATAAATTTCTCATCCAGAGGATAACTTGGATGATGAAAATGAATTTCCATTACAGATGTAAAAGACACTACCACCATCTAAAAAAACCACATTGCACTATGAAGAATTACAATTTTTAGGTTAATGTATGATAGAAGTTATTTGTATGTAATCATTTAATTTTCCTTTATAACAGTACCATTGACCAAGGTAGAGACTGCAAGACCCTGCCTTTCATTCCCAGAAAGAAAGGGAAGAAAGATATTGAGACATGCTATGTAGGCAGCAGAGTAGGAGAAGTGTAGAGCCCTCAGTGAGGCCTGGGGCAGCTGAGAGCCAGGGTGCCCAGAGGGGCAGTAGCAGGTGGGCAGAAGCAGGTGCTTTTACTTATTTCACAAGTAGACAGACTGCCTCAGCTGTCTGGTAAGACATGTATATGACATGTATACTTGTAAGGGACAAACTGCAGCAGGATTTTACAAATGGGAAAAAAACCCCAAACAACTCAAACCACAAAAAAACCCCAAAAAACAACAACCCAAATAAACTCAAAAAACCCAATATCATCCAAACAGCACAGTGAAACATGTTTTTGCAAGCCCAACGTTCTAACAGTCATTTGTACTGTCGTGCCATCTAGTGACCACACGAAATAGCACACTTAAAGCTTTCAAATAATGTGGATAGAGATGTTAGGCACAGGTAATATATTCTATCTGTTTGCATAGAAATTCACACATTTTATATATTCACACACATATATATATGCACATATACATACATATGTGCATATATATATATATACACACGTGGATTTGCACACATATATATTCCTAAACTCATTGCAGACTGAAAGTACTTTTAAACATCACATCTACCTGCAGTGAAATGTATCTCCTTCAGATTTAGTAAAAAGAGTTTTTAAGCACCTTACTATTGCAGTAATAATATTGTTAACAATAGTAGTAATATTTGTATTACTTTAAGATTAACATTAACTTTAGGTATGAGGCAGGACCACATTGTGCTGGACATGGTCCAAATATAAAGCACATGTTAGGAATATTTCAAGCAATGATTATTTAAATGTGTTCTAATCTTTCCTTAATATAATTTCAGTCAGAAATCATAACTGATTAGTGGCTAGAAGTATGGGCTGCCATCTGAATTAACTGTACCTTGGTGGGTGGGGGAAGCCTTTTGCTTTTGTAATTTAGAAATGTGAATCACAGAATTATCTCCCACTGCCTAGAATATCTCTGTTCGTCCCTTCTCATCTTACAGCTTGAGTTTTTCTGTGAAAAGAGACCTCTCAGGTCTTCACCTACCCACCACTTCTCAGTAGTGATATAAGGAGAGCCCACCCAGTCTTCCAGCAGGCTTTCCTCTTCTGTGTTTCATGTGGCTTTCAGTTCTCCCAGTTTAGGTCCTCTAAAAGTCAGGTATTTTGTCTGGGCTAAATATTTCAACTTCCTCCATAATCAAAAGGAGACAGAGGAACTCCTACTGGGCTATTGACTTGTCACACTCCTGTTTGGATTGAGCTGCCCTGGGACAGTCTTATCATTCAGTCTCCACTGGCTATGCACAGGGTGTCTAAGTCTTGGCAGGACTGAAACCTAATTTTAAAACAGTGGAAATCAAAGGAAAGAAAAGGCAGTTTTAGGTTCTGGCACATCTGTGTCCTTTTGGACAACTGTATACAGAAAGTATGATTTAAATGGGCAATCTCTGGCAACTTTAACAGGATCCCATGGTGCTTTTTGATCTGATACAGACCTAAGCAATTAGCATTTCCAGTCTTTAAATACCAGCTTCTCCTTTCAATTCTCATCATATTCTGCGTATATCACATGCTCTGTTGGATTTTATCCAAAGGACACTAACCTGCACAGCCTGATCATTTAATGACCGATCCAGCTGAACAGTCAGAAATGCAGATGCAGTCAGTTCATCTTTTGTAGCATGGGCTCCTTGCCTGAGGAAGACAAGGAGAAAGGCAATGGTTAAATTTAGCTTCAAAGTAACCCAGAGCTTGTGCTGTATGACAAACTCACCATGAACAATCTTACATTTACATAGGTTCTACTCAAAAGGACATAAAAGTCAACATAAAATGATATCCACACTGCAGATCTGTGCAAAGGCAACCAAACATACCATGTATAGATGATCTGCCCTCTAGGGTAAGTGTAGAGGATAATGTAACAGTCACCCCCATAGAACTGTCCATATGTCTCAGGTCCCACAGGCACTCGCCCACTGCTTTCCACACGCCAGATCTGGGGAAACAGAGAAATCACAGGAGATTGCTGAACTTCATCCTGAGATTCTTTACAAAGTATTTTATTACCTTATCCCTTGAGTGTCCTTTCTGTTCCCAAGTGTTGTTGAATAGGAAGAGGGAGGATTCTTCATGAAGTAGGTAAATATACCCTGTGCCCACTGAATTAATGATGACCATCAACAAGGGACTGCAATACACTTCTCTTTGTCTTGTACTTTATCGCCACACAATCACTTCACAATGCTATGCTGAACTTTCTTAACACCTTAAGGTCACAATATGACATGGCACAACATAATGATCCATCATAAAACAAAGATATCATTTTGGAGAGGCACACTGCAATCAGATAACATGGTGTTAGGCAGATGTCTTACAAATTCATTCACTACAGCCCAGTTCAGCTAAGAGTTGGCTGCTCAAGCCTATGGACCAGAAACCCAGAGAACACATTGATGAGACTGTAAGTACTTCTTTTTCTTCCAGAAGCCCAGTATACAATTTGCATTCAACAGGGCATGTTGATACAATGCCATGCTATCCCTGTGTAGTCCAAAGATAGTCCTGAAGTGGGATATGGTCTAGAAAGGTCTAGAAAGACTATACAGTCATCTTTTTCTCTCCAAATCCAGGCTACCCAAGAGACACACTAGGAACAAAGAAGGTTCCTCTAGAAACCAGCTTGGACACCTACATAAAGACATAGAATGGATTTCTGATGCCAAGCACAAGTCCTCCCATTCCAGATTTCAAGCTGGTATGAGCTTGAAGTTTTTCCTTTAGACCAAGAATCACACTTAAAGAAAATATTTACAAGGTATTGTGTACAAGAGGTAGTATTTCTGGTGACTGATTTCTCTTGATGACTGATACATTCTTCATAAGCAGCAAAAGTACACAACCCAGCATACAGCTGATAGTCACCTTCTACTGCCAAGTACCTTTCGTTATGCTTAAAGTAACAAGTCTACTAACATGGTGCTAATCTAAACAACAGTATAAAAACTGAAACACAGAGCAGCAGTTTAGCCCATTACAAGTAGCAGAATACATTAGTTAGATAAAATTTATTACAACATGAAAATTACCTCTACTTTCCCTGAACCGTCATCTACCATGTTATGCTGGGCAGCCATTTGTGGAGACTCATGTAACTTGGTAGCATCAAATTCAATCTGCTCAATTTTAGCCACTCTCTCTGTGACATATACTTTGCCAAAGCCATTGCTTTCATCTTTATCCTTCCAGTCTTTGAAAAACTGTTTGAACATTGGCGTTTCACCTCCTTCGGGAAGAACTTGAATCTGAAATGAAGGCAATACACATGAAACAGGAGGAACACGGAAGTGACACACTTTCTCAAACAGAGGCTTTTCTAGATTACATGTGAAATATTGCCCTTATGTCTTATAAATCCTGAGAAATATTTTTTCTGCTGACTTAAAAACAATGTCTTTAACAGAGCTCAAGCTCTCTTGGTATCACCTCTGTAAACAGATCGCACCTGTGTGTTGGCAGGATAATTCATCTGCTCTATGAATTGCTCAGCATTCTTCATGGCAGCTTTTCTCTCTTGAGGGTTAGCATCTTTGCCTGATTAAAACAGAAGGATAACAGTACATGGGAAAGGGCAATAAGCTCACAGAACCTCCAAAAACAAGTAATCCTTGAGCCAGGTTCTCTTTGACATTGCTCTTCCCTCAGTCTTGAACAAACACAAATGCTGGACATAACATGAGCAAGATTCACATTAAGTTGGATGACCAAAACAGTACTTCCAGAGCTTTGAAAACAGTTAATTTAAGGAAAAAAAAAAACAAAAACCAAACAGTTAATTTAAGGGAAAAGGGGGCAAATAAAAATTGGTTAATAATACCTGCTGGGCTCAAGGTACCCTGGGTCTGTTCTCTGACTCTTCTTTTGCTGGACTGCAATATAGTCAATAAAACTGAACTGCCCCCACTTTCTCAAGCAGTGCAGAAGAGTAAAAGAATCACCTATTGTCTGGCTGGGCTTTGCAATTTATCCATTTCCCTATCCACTGCTCCTTGTTCAGCCTTGCTCAGTATCAGGTATCTCTGGAAGCCTCTGTGGGATTGACACTGTCTACAGGGTGTGTGTCCCAGGAGGCTGCAGTGACTACCTTCCAAAGACCTCACAGTCTAATCAGGTGCTCTGATAAAGTAATCATTTGTATCCCATTTTGAATGAGACCATTACCGAAGTAATTTACACTTCTCAGCTTAGTGGCCTGAAGATTTCCAGCAGAGATGATAGCTGCAGTCTCCCTGCAAGGGTGAGACTCACATTCCAATGGGGCTTTTCCACACATTATTTTTACTGGCAGAAGCAAAGCCAGGATACACAAAGGATTACAAAGGGCCACAGTCAAAGAACTTAAATCATATTTTATTTATTTTATGCCTGACCCTGTTGGCTTGGTTCTAGGAGCTGTCATATAGAGTGACAATCGGCAATCAGGGGGTCAGACAGACCATAGGCTATCTAAGCACAATGCTCCCCAAATGTTTTCTTTTAAAGGATATTTCCCTAACTGCAAATTAAGTTTTCAAACAAAACACTTACAATGCTTCCTGGGCTGACTTGAGAGACTTGACAAATGTAGCAAGTAATTATCTGGTATTGCACGCAGTAGGCCAAAATAAAAATGCCGAGAAATAATTAATAAGCTGCCTCAGACAAAAAAAAATAAAAATACTCATCGCTGGATTTAATGGCAGCACTACAACAATCCAGCTACAAGGTGTCAAGACCTAATTCAGAAACATTTAGACAAAGCAATTGCCAACTGATGACACCTCAGAGAAATATTTGCAAGAAGAAAAGAGACACTGGAGTATTTGCAAGTTTATGCTTTCAGTTTATGCCCTGGACACATACCTTTCAATTTCACACCTCTGTGGAGATGCTTACCCAAATGGAATGTTCAGTGTCCAGATTTTGTCCCAAAAGATAGGGATTTGATAATGTACAGAACTCACAGAGTTATTACTTGTCATTTAGGTAAGCATTTAATCACCCAAGATTACAGATATCTCAAAAATAGGATCCTTAGATAAGACTCAGTCTTGAGGTCCTTACATGAGTGAGTAATCCTTATCCACAGACCGTACCAGGGAAGAACTGTGTGCCAGGTACAGTGTCCAGCCAGTATTAAATTCTTGCTAGTCAAATTAAATTCTGTGTCAACTCTTCAGCTATCTCTGTTAGCTTCTGCATTTGCAATACAAGTGACCTCTCACCTTTCCACACAAAGATCTTCCTGGCAGCACCATTGTCCAAAATGAAGCACTCCTCAGACAAAAGCATAGCCATAGAGAAGGGGTTTTCCTCTGCTACCACAGACACCTTCATGGATCCACTTGCATCTGACACCTAAGAAAACAGAAATTTCAACTTTAGACCAACTCTGGCTTCTACAGACAAATTAATTTCTGTTCCTGAAATTAGTATAAAAATCTGCTGCCATTCCTGTATAACTGGCTATATGAAATTTGTGTACTGCCAGGAAGTAAAGTAGACTAATGATTATAATTTTTTGTTTCATTTCATTTTACAACCAATAGAGGGAGATGTAGTGTTAATTTTAGGGAGTTTGTTGGATCCTTGCCTTGCAACTTCTTAAAACAAATCCATTTCTCTTCCACTGGTATAGTCCCTGCTCCCAAGCAACTCACACTGAAGCCAAAGGTACACGCACACACTGAACAACAGCATTTGTAACCATAATAAAATAGTCCCACACTGACACAAAGAGGTGAAATTTATAACCTGCTGTTCTCTAACTGGAAACTGTAATGTAAGATCTGTTGCAGAATCTGCTTTGTAACCTCTACCATCACTGTAAGTTCACTTTTAGTTTCAGTAGCACTCCATGCTGTCAGTGTTGCCACTTGTTAGCAATCCTCCTCATCAAGTGATGATGGGGAAAGGAATAAAGTTACAGATATATAAGATATAATGTAACTGTCCATCTTTTAAACTCTGCTAAGAATAACTAAGTCATATACAACTACTAAAAGTCTCCCTGTTAAAATTAAGAAGACAGGATGATTTAAGAGCAGTTAATTCTTCTTTGACCTGCACTGCATGGTTCACAGGCCATGCTTAACTTGTTTCCTGAGTAAACAGAAATCCAATCCATTTTTTTTCTTTCAAATTTCCTGGACTATCCTGATTGACATCCTTTAAGAAACTTGTCCATTGGCTGCAACTGAACTAAAATAAGAGCAGTTCTGTAAACCAAGGCAGAACTCCATATGTGAGGAAGCAGTGAATAAAAGCATTACTACTGTTGAGCACACCTAATTGTAAGTATATAAATAAATAACTTACCATATAAAGTTTAGCACTTCTCCTGTTTGTGATATCAGCCAGCTCATCATCATCATCACCACACTCAGGAAGCTCTGGCTTGTTCCCTAAAACCTTTATAAGAGAATAACAAATTCAATGCAGAGAGAGAGTAGGCACTGTAGCATAAATATCTGTACACTAATGTATTGTCACAGTAACCAAATAATTGGGATCATCTTTATATGTAAGACAATCTAAAACCAAACTCATAGCTGACACAAACACACAGATAATTTTTAAAAACTCTGTCAGATCTCCAGCAACTTTTACCTACATGATGTCTTTTCTACAGGTCAATTTGCTAGTTGTCTAGACACCAGAATACACATGCACATATACACATACACAGAGTGTATGTGATCCTATTCTATGTGCGTGTTTACCGGTTTGTCTTCCTTTTTTCTTCCCACTAACTTCTGAACTGTTGTCAAGCACATCTTACAATTTTTGGAATGACATTACTCTTAAAATGTTTAACAATACTAAAATTAAAACTGTCAGAATGAAATATATAGCTAAATTTATAAAGTAATTCAATCAACAGTATAAAATATCAGATTATGAGTTCATTAATTTAAAAGTTACAGATTCTTAATCCCATTTTAAGGGGAAAAATTTAGCTAGAGTCTCGAAAATAATTTATGGTGTGAGAAAGCATTTTCTTGCTCTACCACTAGAATATCAATTTTAACACTGTGGTAGTTTTACACCATGGGCAATGTTATAATAACTATCACTACAAGAAATTTACAGAGGTTCATCAAGAATATGTTAGGCAGGTAGTCATTATTAAGTCCTAGTTACCCTTTCTTGATGATCTTTCCTTAATGATTCGTATACGTGGACAGATCCAAAGGTCACACACACGATATTATGGATTCCTGTGAAATTATGTCCCAGAGTGAAGGTAGCAATTGATATGTCTGAGAGACTAAATATTAACATAAAGTACAAAGGCAATGCCAGCCTTCCTGTGAACTTGTGAATTATCTGTATAACATGCTGTGAAATATAATGTGGAGTCAGGCAAAAGTCTTGTAAATATTTGATAACAGGGAAGCCCAGCAAAGTATACAGCTGTGAACAATTTGGAAAGAAAAACAATACAGAATAAATATTTAATAGAAATCTGCCATCTGTGGAGTTTTCCTACCTGGCAAAGTCAGTAAAATAGTAAAATAAAATAAATGAAAACAGCCTTTTCATGTGTGATTGTTGCAGTTTAAGCTAGAAAATTTTATCTGAGACTCACTGAAGACAAGAAAGCAATGTCCTGTTTAAGAAAGATGTTACCCATAGCTCTTCAGTAGCTATCAGTCAGCATTTCCTGAACTTACACTACATGGCTGCAGATTTACTACTCTATAGGCCAAGTAGGGCTCGCTGTCCACAACAGAGTGCCACTCTGTGCTGGTGAATGGCTAGAACAGTGGGAATATGCAGTTCATTGGCACTAATTTCTAAAATTTCCCTTCCTACCTGCTTTTGTAATGCCAGGGTCACAAAATTCCCAAATAATAGGCGTACATCTTTATCTGAACAGACACTGAACAAATTTGAGGGTTTTATAATATTTGACTTTCAGTAACCAATAAGAGGGCAAAAGAGTTATTAAAACTCTCAGAAGTTTGTACTCATTAGTGCTCTGCTTAATTAGGCATTAACAGTAAAAGGAAAAGAAAAACCCAAAACTCCCAAAACCAAAAATCCCAACCAACCAACACCTCCAAAACAAACAAACAAAAGACCCAAAAAAACCCACTTTGACTTGACTTCTGACACAGTTAAAATCAGTGTTTTTCTTTGCTGTGCATATAGAATACCTGTGGCACCACAATTATTTTGCAGCATCTTTGTAAGTCATTCATGTTGATACTTTTAACTATGCAAGTGTCATTCTGAATATTTCAAAGCAAATAGTGCCTGTTGGTGTTTGTGAAAGCATCTTGAGAGAAGCGGCCTCTCTATTTACAGGAAGGTCTATTTGCCGCAGTCTGGCAGCAATTAAAGTAAGCAGGCCCTATAATTTAAAAATTGGGCTTTAAATGTGGGCCCAGCACAGATTAGATTGTTGTTGCTGTCTTTAAAAGCAAATGCAGAAATGTTTTCCTGAAGTAGAAATTAAGATACAGAAGATACAGAATTATCGTCAGACTCACAAAGCTGGTCTTAGGAAATCTCAGTTCATGGGTACTAACACAGGGAGAGGGGTTTGTGCAGGTGCACATATGGGACATTCTGGTGCTGGGGAAACCCCTCCACAACTCATTAAACAGCAGCTTGCACCGTGGCCTCTTTGGCCAAGGAGAGCTTCACTGCCTAGCTTCTCTAGCCCTGTGCTTCAGCACAGGCAAACAGAAAATACAAGTTATTATTTTCTGCCATTCTTTTTGTCAGAAGCCCAAACAAATGGAGAAGGGCTTTGAGAGTGTCCCTTTCTCCTGCATTTTAAGTCACAGCTGCTTGTAGATCCTGGCATTGTAGGGGACCCTTGTTAAGAAGGACAGGATGTGCTTCTCCCCCCATCAGGTAAGAAAACACAGGACTGTTGAGGAGGGCTGTGCAACCAACACAGCTGTCAGAAAATGCCTTGAGCTGAATCACAAGCGGTACCTGCACATGTTGGTATCAAAACCAGGAGATGATACAAGGATAAATGACGTAAGACCTGTGAAGGCACCAATTGTGAAGACATGTAGCATATATACATATAGATATATACTCAATATATGAAGTGATGTTTTATGAAATATGTATAGTCAGTACATATCTGTATTGCTAGGAACAGTTTATGCTTGTTTCTAACATGTATTTGCTGCCAGTTTTCTTACAGAATGGAGGATGAGACAAATCATGTAAGGAAAAATTCCGCTCTTAAACACAAAGCATGACAAAATGCTGAAATAATGCTCTTTCCCAAAGAAATGCCTTCCAGTGAAGTTGTCTTTACTCCTCCTGAGGAAGACTCCCATGCTATGGCTCCACATGTATATGTCTGCATGTTATGACAATTAATAGTTTTATCAGTAAAATTACAACAGTGTTTAAACAACAGTGTTAGCTGTTAGTGTTTGCTGTGCTGAAATTGGGTTGTATCATTGCATAAGCACCTCATGGTTGAGCTGTAGCTGTCCAGGGCACCTCCCTTTTTACACATAAGTCTCATATGATGGATAAAAAGAATGCAAATCACTCCAGCTGAGACTGCAGTCAGGCTCCCAAAGCTTTGCAGCAGCTTTACCCAATAAAATCATTTATACCAACAGACCATTTGAAGGACACTGGGTCTTCTGATACTTATCTACATACACTCTCAATTCCACACAAATCCTGTGGTAGCTACACACACAGGACTGTGCTCATATAATCCTCTCTGTACAGTCAGGCTTCTCTGGGTCTTGCCACTGCGTGGCCCAGAGTGCTGACAGCCCTACATTTTGGCTCTCCTGTGTGCTCTGAGGTGTGAGACCCTGACTTATAAACATACCAAGAACTTTGACCCACAAATCCACCCTACACACCTGGAAATAGCAATGCTCTCTTGGGTACACACGACAACCTAGCCACACTTTTCCCCAGATGCTCAACCATACTGGCAAACTTCCAACCTTACATCTCATAAATACACAGGTGCACACACAGGCCTTAAAACTGCTTTTTAAATCATCATCATAATGTTTATCATATTATCATTATTCACTACTACAGTAACAGCAATAGAAATTAGGGGATCAGAAAGCACATCCATGCCCCACCTTCTCCATTCTTTGGGCTTAGCATTGTTTTAGCTGAAGTATTCATTAACTCCCTATCTTTGGATCTTGTCTGAAGGCATATAACAGGAAGTCAGTCTGCATTAATCTTAAAATCTTGGGGTTTTTAAGCCAGACTTTTGTGTTGACATTCTTAGGTTAGTACAAGAATACCATTATACAAACCAACAGTACATCAGTTCCTCTACAATTGCCCCAGTTCACTCTTGTGGTAAATGCAACGTAGCTTACACTGCCTGTAAAACCTGTTTCATATTTGCATGTGCACAAGCTCCTCTCTGTGAATATTCTGCCCCCCCTCAGATAAGTGCAAAATACTGAGCCAATGCTATTACTCAGAAGTGAAACTCCACCCTTAAAAAAGAACCAAAGAAATCACAGACAAAGTTTTTAATCTAAAGGAATGTGACAAGGCAAATAATTAAAATAAAGTCATTAAAAGAAATTTGGCAAATATTGTCTTCGTAACCGGAGAAGCCAGCTCTGCATCACAAAACAGTTGATATTGATTTAATGGGAGCAAGTTTAAGGAGTTCAGTGAGGCTGAAAATCCACCTAGGAAAACAATACCTGAACAATGTCAAGTGAAGGTTAATTAAGAGAGAAAACCAGTTTTATACAATTTAACTTGTGTACACTAGCATTGCGTTTGATTTTCTTCTTCATATACACACTTTGGGTTAGGTTTCTGGGTCTGAAATGGAACTGTTTGTTGTGGCTGTCATCCCAAATATCAGATCTCAAAACCACTCGACCTCCCATCTTTATATGCTAAGATCAATAGAAAGAAAAGCAAGAAATTTACATTACTTAAAGCTGTCTAAATGACCTGACATTTTATTAGTTAATACTTCTGGAAAACAGTCAGGGTAGTAGCTCATCATTTGCCTTCCTGTATGCTGTGACACAAGCAAGTATATCCCGCTCCACAAATTCAAGGTACACATATAGGTTGTGACACAGAATAAAGTCACTGTGCAGGACTGCAGGTCTGAACAAGAGATGCAGTATGACTTCACAGGTAGATAAAAGGCTTAGATTTTTATTAACCTTCAAAGCAGAGAAGAATGTTAGAAGGAACGTCTCTCTGAAATAGGTATTCTCTCAAATATGTACTTAAGCAGGAAAAAATCCATCAGAGAAAGGAAGGGATGAACATGATGCAGGCTAATAACCAAGGCTAGCTGACCCTGGGTACCAGTGCAGAGCATCATTGGCTTTAAGGCTTCACTGCTGAAGTAACTAGCCACAGTTTAACTTCTAATTGTTTGGGGTTACTGGTTCCTCTGACAGAGCACA